ACAGTATGTATTTTTCTGAACCTACAATTCAGGCTTATCTACAATTCAGGTTTATAGTAGAATTGATAATTAATATATTTTAGAGTGGATACATGAAAGAAAATTTTAAGTTAATTACCGAATCAATGCATATTGATAAAAGCCGTGGAGAAGTAGAAAATGTATGTTGAATTGGTTTAATGCATAAACATAATAATATATATGTATTATTATCCTTTAGGCTTTGAATATTTCTCAAGATTTGCTTGAGCAACGTCAAGTAGTAATAATCGATATTGCAAATGATCCAGTTGAAAATAAATATTACCGAGAAGATCAAGATCCTACTTTGTTTCATTCCGAAAAGACCGGTAGAGGTCCATTGAAAGACGATTGGATTGTAAGGATTATTAATTTTAACATTTATTGCATTATTTAATATACTAATATTAATTATTATGTCTCAAAGAAAACTACAACTCCGGTTATGACTTGTTATAAACTTGTGACTGTAGAGTTTAAATGGTTCGGTCTTCAAACTAAAATTGAGGCATTTATCCAAGATGTAAGCTCAATCGAAATTTATAAAAATTTTTTTTGGATTATTTTTAATTATTATTATTTTTTTTTTTTTGTAGGCTATGCAATCTCTTTTTATTAGATTCCATAGACAACTTTTTTGTTGTATTGACAAATGGTTTGGTATGACCATGGATAATATTCGTGCTTTAGAAGATAAAACAAAATTAGAACTTGATGAGGTATTATTCATGATATTTTACGTTGTTTTAGTGAATTTTTAATGAATTTCTTTATTGGATCTAGTCACTGTCAAAACAAGTAGAAATTGAAGAAGTTACAGAAACTACATAGTTATTGATAATATTTATAATAAATGAATTAATTGTCTTTTTTGGTTATTTAATAACATTATCATATTAACAGTAATTATAAATTTATATGTTTACTTTTTTGTAATTTTTAATAAAATACCTCAACTTTAAATTGCTACTACTCTTTTAGTTTCACTTTAAATTTAAATTGAAACCACAAATTTTGTTCTAATAACAAGAACAAATCTTGTGAATTAGCTTTGCAATTTATAAGCAGTATAAAAAGCAGTAGCATTTTTTAGAAGGCTAATTTTTGTGTAGATTTAAAGCCACGGGTACCATAGGAGGGTAGCTACCCTTGACCTGACAAATGTCCGCACCTCTAGTCATCACTATTGAATGGAATTGGATTTAAAAAAAATGGCATTTATCAGACATAGGAATAGTTTTAAATATTGTTATCGAATGAAAAAACTTCATTAAAGTCAGCAGAGTTAGGAAATAATCGTGGAAAAGCAATTTCAGCTATTGTTAATAACGTTTCCAATCTACTGGATTTGAAGATTCATGTTCAAAACGGGTTTATATTATAGAATGCATATCGATATAAGTGGATCAAATTTTTACTTTTTAACGGAATTGGACTTAGGAGCAGTGTTCGAAATTTCAGTTTCAAATACTGTTCTCATGAGAACAATATACTATCGTTAAATGTTCTCAAGCTGCTAGTTCATGATCTCTAAAAAAAAAAAAAAAAAAAAAAACTAAAATTATTTAATTAATAAAAATTATAAAAATTTCAAATTGTGTTCTCATGAGAACTCCGAGAACACTGATTTCGAACACTGCTTAGGAGGTAAACTATACATTATTTTAGCTTTCATGAAATATTAGATTTTGAACTTTTAAATTTGGTTTAAATTTAACTCGGTATTAATTTAATAACAATAACCGATTTTATATACTGAAAAATCCTTAATTTAGAACCGGTTCTGACCTCTAGTTGCTAAATCATTCTAGGTTCTTAGCTTTACACGTTATAACATTGATTTAACGAATTTGATTCTTGAGTTTGACACTATTAACTGAAAATGGAAATATATTTTGGTTTTGATACTTATTCAAAATATCTCGATTCCAAAACATCAACTATGTAGTAATGTCATAATTCAAAAAAAAAAAGGGTTAGATCGCAACCCTAGTTATAAAAGTTGTTGTGTGTAACCCATTTTAATCTGGAACTCTAAAATAAACATATTGGATTGCTTTGAATCATGGTCAAATTAACTTTGTGTCCAAGTAGCTATAAAAAAAAATAAAGAGATCGAATTTAAAATCTAAAGTAAGATCATTGAACCAATATCCAGATGCTTTACCTCACGAATATTGTTTATTCCATATTTTATCATGGTGGGTCTTTCTAAGCTGGAAAGAAAAAAAAATTGTAAGACTAAATATGACAATAAGATTTGTGTAATGCAATAATATGCATACCCTAAACCCCAAGCGATAACCCGAACTTCCGGGTCTAGTCCCATTGGCTCCAACATTTCTGGACGAAACATGCCTGAATTTCCTAACTCTACCCATTTGC